TATGAAGTATTTGGAAATATGATAAAATATATTTCAGTTACGTTTATTAGAACTGAATAGAGAAACTGTATTTTGTATCTTTCAAAGAACTGAGAGGAACAGAAAGATAATTGTTAACATTTTTTGTGGAAACCAAGACTTTGTATATCGTCTCTGCTCTGGTCGATTAATAAGGATGAATTAAACTTTTTTTGATACACAAGAATATCTGTTTTAAATTTATTTTGAGTATAGTACGAGAAATCGTGATGATAAAAGCTCCACTGTATTATCGAATTCTCATACTGCGTAATTTTGAGTTTTATTTCTTATGGAACAAATGTCTAACAACATCAAAAACTGGCTGTTCTCAATCAGAAATGTTATATCTGAAGCAAACAGATAATCTGACGATCTATTTATATAGGGATCTAAATAGAGATATGTATTGGATAGGGAGAATAGACGCTGTAAACGAAAAAAGTATTGAAGTTCAAAATATGACGTGACTATGCTATCGATGTGCGATATAAAACAAGGGTTAATCTTAATATGGTCATATCTTTTCTGGTAATGTAAAAACCAGCATTGGAATTATCAGATTTTAATTAAGTGAACTAGACAGATATGAACCTTGATTTAATTAAATTAAACGGTTGAGGGAAAAACTTACAGAAAATTCAATGTATTTTTTTGCTGAAGGAAAAAATACTATCAAGGCCTTGCAATCTCTTTGTCATGCTCTATATTTTCTTCGTTATGTCGCTTAACTAACATTAGAAACTATCATTTGATGTAAAAAGTAAGCTAGTCCACTAGAACAGGAAACTACATCTTTTTAGATCAAATTTATGATTTCAAACTCGGAAGTTGAAAGGAAACTATTCGTGTTATTCTGAATTTTACTTAATCCTTTACTCCCGGATGTCCACACCCATGGATATTGATAAAATCGATATACAAAAATAACGAAGCGTCATATCAGAACCGGATTTTGTTCCAACATTAGAGACTTCACAAGCTCTCGATTGGTAAAAAAGAAATTTTTTCCTATGGATCTTGACTGCGATAATTAACTTTTGAAATTGAAGAGTTTCAAATTTTTGAATTTTTTTAAAAGCTTTTTTCATAGCTTTAGTAATACAAGGATTTCCAGATGTAGTGGTGGATAACTATTGCTACAAGGATCCTCTGTATAATTACACAAGAAAAGAAACTTTCTGTGAAGTTGTCTTGATACACCGTGTCCAGTAATGAAATGTCATTAGGAGCGAGTGACATAGAAAGTACTCATTTTTAAACATATACACATTATTCTCTTTCTCTTCTTTTCTTGTAAGGTGCAGAATTTTATTTTTTGTTTTTTTGCCATAGTTGGATAGAGCACATCGAGTTGCATAAAAAAAACTTAATCCCACAATTTTGGAACACAGTTTTCAGTTAAAAAAATTTTAAATATAAATCAAAAATGTGTGAAAATAGGCAAAATTTTGAATAAAACTGTAACTTCAATCATTCATTCTATTTTTAAAATTCCAAAACAATTTTTTTCTTACTCTCCAACATTTTGACAAAAGCAAGGTCATATTCAGATTCAGGGTCAAGAACTGGGTCGAATGATATGGGTGCTAGGAGTTTTGAATGACCTCGAAGTTTTTCGTGTTTTTCAAAATCCAAAACCAAAATTTTCACTCAAACTCCAAATATTCCCCAAAACACTGAGACCTATATCATTCGATCCACTTTTTGATCCTGATTCCGAATGAGACCTTGTTTTTCTCAAAATGCTGAATTTTGACAGAACGAGTTCGGACAACACAAAGAAAAAAATTGCGTTTTTTATGTTGTTCCCTCTTAATGGACACGCCTGTGGACATTCTATATTCTATCACCTAGGTAACTTCATTTTATTTTAAGTATGGAATGGGCATGGTGAGCATTCAAAAGCTCTACTTTAGTAGTTCCTGGAACTCCGAAAAAATCCCCTCCTGGGCTAAAGGGTTAATTAGCACGGTCTTTAGATTTACGCCTCGTTTCTTCCGAAGGAAATCAGTAACTGTTATAAAATTGATATTGTGTTGTAGAACTCAAAAATGCGCATCTTTTGATGAAAGAAACAATCATAAAAGAGTTAAATTGAACTATTAGGAACGCTTCCTGAAGAATTAGGGTCGGAACTGAGAAGTCTTGAAAATTGATCCGCTCTAATACTTCAAATATTATGCTGAGGAAACTTAACTAATTTCTCAATCAAATATACAGTTTTGTAGAGAATTAAATTCTACATCTTTTAATTATTAAAAGAAGAGTCCTATCGAGTTGGCAACTTTACGAAATAAGCACATGTTTTCCAGCTGATCGCATGACATATGGACGAGAGGTCTTCTCTAAGAAAAGCAGAAATCAAAAGTGATTCTTGTTAGACAGTGCGAGAAAATTATTAGTCTTAGACAAGAAAAGTAAAAGTCTTCGAGAAACGTCATGTGGGGACGAACAGAATTTTAAGTCCTCTTCGAGTTCTCCTATCGAAAAAAAAATGAGAATACTCGTGAGTTTACTGGACAATACCGGCCATGAAACAATCCATTTTTTATAAATTAGTCAGAGAAACATACTCAGAACATACTGTAAATTGAAATGGAATTATATTCATCTATATAAATTTCTTTTGGTTCCAGAGTTGTATAATTCAAATGATGAGTTCATTATTTATTGGTAATTTATGCTACATAAGCGATGGATTATTGAAATCTTATTGTTCAAAATATGGCACGATTGTCGAGTGCACAATTAAACGTGATAAAGATGGTAATACTTTCCACTGTTTTGCATTTGTTACTTATAGATCAATCAGAGCAATTGACGATATAATGAGAGAACGGTAGGATATTGTTTGATTATTTATATCATCAGCTAATGTATCTAATAGTTCTATAATGTTTCAGTCCACATTATATTCGTGGTAAAGAGGTATTAGTTAAACGAGCTTTACCACGTCAATTGTTTACTGTTCAAGAACGACTCGTTCTTACAAGACGATTAATCTTAAATGATATCGACAATAGAGTACATGATGAACGTTCAATTCGATTATATTTTCAAACTTATGGACGTATTTTATGTTTTAAGTTGGATAAAAAGAATCGATGTTGTTTTATTGACTATGATGATTATGATTGTGTTGATCATATTCTTATACGGTAAGTCGAATAAATCTGGAGAATTATTCTATTGTTAGAAATATTTGATAAATAACATGAATTAACTTGAAAACGAAAGATGAGTTACCCCCTCTCCTATTAGCATCCCTTTTTTTGAGGGAGGAATTTTAGTGAATGACGCTCAATCCAGTTTTGTGTTTAATTAGTCAGTGTTTCTTATAATAGACGTCCTCATTATATTCATCGTAAAGAATTGAAAACAACAAAATACATCCCAGTTCAAGGAGGAGATCACGAAAGTCCAAGAAATAGAAGTTATGGCCATGAAAAAGCTTACCATTTTCTAGAAGAAAAATATAGCAATGATGAACAAGACGTGGAACAACAACGTTCAAATACCCCATCGCCACTCTTATCATCTGCAGTTGTTGTCGTTCGCAAAGAAAAATCTCTATCTCCTACTCTCTCATTAACGATCGACGATGAAATTGATGAAATAAAACAATTACAAACAGAACTAATTCAATACAAGACAGATTATGAAAATATGGAATATAAATATCGTAAATTGGAAGATGAATATCAATCATATAAGAGAGAAAAAGAACTAGAACTTAGTGAATTAAATATTACACATGTGAATCAAATAGAAAAAATTAAACAGTTATTATTAGAAAAAAATGAAGACTATACGAATAAAATCGATCGAATTAGACAAGATTATGATAATAAATATCGAGAAAACTGTTTGACGATTCAAAATAAAAATAATCATCCATTAATTGTGGCCGATTTGCAACAAAAATTACAGCAGTTAGTTTTAGATGAACAAAAACATCATCAAGGATTGATTAAATCATTAGCTCAATTAGCAATTCGAACCAATGTACAAATGGATAATCAAACAACAGCTAAAAAACGACGACACGATGGGAATGTTGATTAATAAATACTAACATGACAAAAATAATCCTTTTTGACTTTGCTTATCGCTTTTGTACATCTCTACTAACTAAAAATTATGTTGTAGTTTATTGAACATGTAAAAAAGCTATTTTTTTATTATTAACGTTGTTGTTGTACTTATTTTTAATTCTACGGTGCAGATATTTAAAAAGTGTCCAGTTTTTTTCGAGTATTTTTTGCCTCGCTTTTTGTGATAAAAAAGATGATATTTTACTAGTCTCTATCTATATTCTCTCAATTCACTACTAAATGCATGAGAGATTATTCCCTCTTTCTTGTGCAAGTTCCGTTTTTTAATTGCATATTGTTTTGTTACCCCTTATTTATTGTGGTTCAATGAAGCTGTTAAAAAAAAAATCAAAACTAGTTTATTTTAGGATTGTTCTGTAAAAACTTTGATCAAACATGAATACAAAGTATTTGCAATAGTTGTAATATTCTGATAAAAAATTTTTCAGTAAGAATGCGGGAAATAGGACGAACAATTTTAAAACGAATGTTTATTGTACAAACAAAATACTGCAGCAGAAAAGTGGACGAACAATCTCAATAAAAATATAACTTTTTTTGATTGAAAATAAAAAGTAATAGAGTTCTCAGCTAGGGTCGACTGTGAAAAATGAATAAGGTTGCAAATAAACAGCATTGGATATGAAAACTTGAAATTATGAGTATGAAAAAGTGTAATCACACTATCACACAATTTTAAACTCATTTTGAAAAGACAAAGATTTTATTATTCTAGAAAACCATCAACAAGAGTAACATTTTTTGCATGAATCACTATCGTTATCCCGTTATCAAAAAATTCTATAAATGAAAATTAAACTTTTTCAAAAAATTCATTGATCAAATTTGATTAAAATATTTTTTATTCAAATAGAATTACGTAAATAATTATATCAAACAGTGACAATATGAAAAAATTCAAATTTGATCATATGTAAACCGAGAATAATACAACTTACCAAAATAACTAAGAAAGTATTATAATGATAACTGTTGACAAATGAAATATAAGTAGTTTAATATGAGTGAGTTGTTGGCGTAAGATTGAGTGAGGTATACATACTATTAAGTAATCGACAATAATTCTTTTAATGGCAAATAGAATATGCCTGTTAGATGACGTCAAACGTGTTGATGCTATCATTATACTTTAACACTTTTAAATTTGGACTTTAATACATTTTTGAAGTGGAATGTAGACCGGCGATATTGTCAAAGAAACATTGGAGAAAAAAATGCATCTCATTTCAGGACTCTCTAGTTACAGAGCAGAAGATCTAACTACTGAGCTATCTTGTCCTATAATAGTTGATGTCCAACAATAGAGTTGAGTATTGTTCATGAGAGATACCTGATGAGATACCTTTATTGACGTGTGCTTTACACATTTAATTTTTTATCGCATTCTATTTCTCTATAGAGAAGTAGAGAAGAGAGTGAAAAGAATAGCGTGGAAAATATCTTGTTCAATCAATCCCTCATAACTTACTCATTTTTTTGATCAAATTTAATAATCCTTTTACTATCAGATTCGCAAGACATTTTTTCACTCAAAAATGTAACAACGTTGAAGAATTTTACAATGAAACTCTGGAAAGGACTCGATTAAAATCAACATGTATATGTGCATGTTATTTGAACGGGAAAAATAAAGGTGTTTCAGTATAGAAGTATTGAACCCTTTTATATTTCTGAGTAGATAAAAGTCGTTCGAGCTTCATAGTAAAACAATGAGTTTGGTTACAAAAGCGGTGAGACACGAGTGTTAAATTGAATGAAAAACTTTTCCTTTATGTTTTTTACCTTGTCTTTTCTACGCAGAAGCAAAAAATACATCATACAATGATAATATCAGCAAGGATAGGGTACATTGGTGTAAAAAGACAAAACATTTTAATTTTTCACTGTGTTTTGATCGGAAAAGCTTGATATTGAATATCACAGTAAACAGGAAATTTTTCTACGTGTTCATAAAACGAATTTTGAGTCAGATTCAGAATGCGAAAAGCTCTATCAAAGTATCCAAATATATGGATAAATAAGTATTCAAATATATAGAGTTTTAATCAACGAACGGCTATTAACTAAGTCTGAGAAATAATTAGCCCAAAACTAGTTCGGATCTTCCTTTCGAGCTCATAATTATTTAAACTCATCTGTTGTGATTATAAAGTCTCAGTTTAGCTTGGAATTGGGCAAACATATGTACTAATCAACGTCCTTCATGTAGGTAGTAAGTATTCATCGAGTCGGAGATGAACGTTCCTAGTACGTATACGTTAATTGTCTTCTATAGAAGACAATAGAGTGATAGACGTCATACAGTGGCAGATCCAGGATTCTACCGACGGGGCGGCGATTTCTAAACGAAGTCGTCCGAGGTAGTATGAATATTTTTTCTAAGGAAGTCTGGTAGTGTACTTGCATTAGAATTCCATTTGCGAGGGGCCGGCGGTCGCCGGACCGCCGTAGTGCTAGATCCGCCACTGACATCATACTAGTCATGTTTAATTTACCAGAATTAAATGATAAAAGCGAAATGAAAGAGCTGAATATTAAAAAATTGTCTCGAATAAGTGGAAAGTTCTGGAGTTGAATAATCAGGACAGAACTTCAGAAAATGTTTGCACTGCTGAGTTTGACAGTAAAACTTCGATCTGATTGAAAGTAACGTGCTTAATGCCTAAAATATTCTTCTGCTGTGTTGAGTGGAGATGAACAATTTTTTAGCGCGGGCTTGCTCCGTATTTGTGAAAGAAAAGAGACTGATGTACTTGTGAATGTAGTGCCGCGCAGCTTAGGTCACGAGATCGAGCAAATCGTAGGTGAGCGTTACCTAGTGGGCCAATCGTTGCGCAAATCGTTTTTCTATGCAGTAATGCATTTAAAGAACGCAGTGTATATAAGAAATCGAAGTTTGAACGTAGAAAAACTAGTAATTATAAAAAGTTAAAAATAATTCATCTGATGTTTGATTTTATCTGGATCTACTTTGACAAGGTTCCCACAGAATTCTTTAATGGCTGAGAAAAAACATTTTTTTTTGGAACAGTTTTTTGTTTGCGCGTTTTGGAACCTGAGTGGACCTAACTTTCAAGAAATAATTCAGAAAACTATCTAGATAGTTGATACCACATAACCGAAAATTTGCTAAGCCTTTTTGTCTTTAGCAGCAGACAATTTCTTCACGACAGTATTGACAGTCACACTGGAAGAAGTTCACACTTTTTTGCTCTTTATTCTTGTTAACAGAATTTGTCTAAATATAGACCATATTGACTTTGTATTAAATGAAAAAATGTGTTAAAAAGTCATTTTTAGAATACAAGAAATCTCGCGTTCTTTACTATTTAAGCAAAGAAGTAGATTCTGAATGCATGATATCTCAAAACCAAAATAATTTTAAACAAATTAGGTGTTCGGTTTACAATTGGAATAAGATACAGTTGCTCGTTCGACAACCGCTGTAGTCTTACCGTTATGTCCCACTTGATTTTGAATGTTTTGCAGATATCATTCGTATCTGTGTTTTTATCGTAGAAGCAATGTACACATGTATCAAATTTGATTGCTGCAATAGTGAATTGATTAGTCACCATTTTATTTTGTATTGTTTTAGATGATATTTATTTAATAAGAAAAGAATTGTCTGTTGACCTAGTCAACAAAAATAAAATGGTTGATTTTTGAGAAAACAAAATACCGGTCAAGTTTTATGAAATGTATGTTGAAATTTTGTCACTTTTTCCTTCACTAATCCTAATTACATTTTTTTTGTATCATTTGTAGACTCAAAATTTAAATGGAAGCAACAATCGAACAACAACTTGTTCTTATTTATTCTAAATTGGTCACTTTTTAATCTATTTACATTGTTTTCATTTTTAAACCTCGAGTTTTTTTACCCTAAAATAATAAAAGAATGTCTTGTGGTAATAATAATGACTCATCTCCAAGCCGAATGAAAAGTGAACAAAATAACCCACAGATGACTGCCGCTGACTTTAATCCGCAATCTCACGGCATGTATCAGCAACAACAAATGAATTTTTATGGAGACCCAAGAAATATGATGAACATCAACGGTGGTCGCTCTACTTCTCAGCAAATGATGAATCCAATTTTATACAATGGACCACAATCTAGATTGTCCGGCGTTTATCCACAAACATCAGCCTATCCGATGAGTCCAGCGGTAGGTATCTAATGTTATCTGATCAATTTATTCCCATTTTTATTAACAGTATCTTCTGCGGTTTTTTGTGTCAGTGTGTGTGTATGGGTGTGGAAAAGAAAGTGTGTGTTTTGACCTTGAGAATGATTTTATGCTCTAATTATTTTATAGCAGCAGCAACAGTTTAATAATCATAATCAAATTGATTGTCAAACATTAGTGTATGAACAACGTTTATCTCATAGTAATACAAATTGTACGTCAATGCCCACTGGTTTACATGATTCTTCCTCTCGTTCGTATTTCGGGAATCATAATCAGTCATCATCTATGCCAAATAATTATCCACCATCATTATCGCAGCAACAACAACAGGACTCTTTTCCGATATCTTCTTCATCTCCATACGAACCTGTTCGTACTTATTACGGAAATTTAGTTAATGAATACCATCATCCGTCATCGGAGGTATTCTTCTATAAATGTTCGTGTTTTGTGTTATACGATTGAATTCAACTTTTCTGTTTGTGCTTTGTGTTGTGTGATATTTCTGTTGTTTTATATTAACTCGCACGAGTTTAAACGTTTTTGTTTGTGGTATTTCAATTTATAGCCTTCTTTTTCTAATAAGAGATCTTTTTATTTTATTTTAGCTCAATCCATCGTATAATGATATTGAACGATATACAACCAAAGACAAAGATACTCGATCTTCTTCATTGTCTTCTGTCACACCAGTATCATCTTCGTCCGCAACCAATATAACAGCAATTTCGAATCTTACAAACAGTGATCAAGTAAGTTTGATGTTAGTCTAAAAAAAAAGAAGAAGATAGAATTGTCTCATTTTGTTTGATTTTAGTCAACAATGGCCAAAGAAGATCTGGGATCTCAAAGCGATAAGGTTTGTAACATATTTATACATAGACTGTATGTTTGTCTAATTTTTTTCTTCATAAATAATTTCCTTATTTTCACGATGACAATAAGTTAAAGTACTATTTATAAATATAAGTTAACAACGTTGAATAACGTAGACGTTTAAATTGTGTTTCTTGTGGAAAACTTCTATTATCATAAGAGAACGATGTATGAAAATAAAATTTCATTTAATTCATTAATAAAATAACAATTTCATTTTGATTACCGTGACCATTGACTATTGACTATATTTTAACTGTAGTTAATTATGTTACATCTGTTCTAACAATAATGAACGTTTTATAACAAAATATAAATAATTTTGCCACATGTTTATTTCTACTCTAATCAGAACAATGTTTGTATAAATTCTGGATTTGCTTTATGTTGATGCTTTACTCTTTTCCTCATCAACCAACTAGAAAATTAATAATACTCACCAGTTAGAATTTTCGATGTATGGTTATGGCTAATGTTTTTTTCGATTAAGATCCACTTTTCTCCTTTTTGTTATTAAGAGTATATAATATATAAAAAAAAAAAGAAGAAAAGCAAAGAAGAAAAATGCGCATGACTAGTAAAAAATTGAGCTTTACACTCAATTTTATATTATTTCATCAATTAGTAGATCGAGGGTAAAGGAAATTTGTCTATAGATGTATATTATTCTATTTTGAAGTGCATAAAACATGATTTTCAAAAAAGAAAAGTGCTAAACGATTTTTTTCTCTTCGTTTTAACATAGTGTCCATATTTTATTATTATTATTTTGGCACAACAACAAAAAACGTGTTTCTGTTAAAGAGACTTTTTTTATGATAGCACTTGTTGTGTAATGAATGAATTAATGGGTTATAAGAAGAAGAAGAGAGAAAAACAAACGTATATGTAACCTTGATCTTTCGTGCATATAATATTATTTTTTGGATCGAGTTTTTCTTCTATTCTTTATATATATATATATTTTTTTTTTTTTTTTTTTTTTTTGAATTTAGGTTTAAATT